CACCCACAGATTTAATTTTTGTAACAAGTCTTTTGTGAGGCACCTTATCAAATGCTTTCTGAAAATAAAGGTAAACCAAATCCACAGTATTTCCTTCATCAACTCTTGCAGTAGCATCCTCAAAGAATGTCAGAAGATTTATTTATTAAACAAGACTTTCCGTTAGTGAAACTATGCTGGCTCTTTGACACTATATCAAACTGCTTTAAGTGACTCTGCAATGCATCTTTAATCATCCAATCCAAAATCTTTCCAACTATTCATGTAAGACTAACTGGCCTATAAATGCTTGGACAATGTTTATCACCTCCTTTAAATATTGGACTAACATTAGCCAACTTCCAATCTTCTAATACTCTTCCACTACTTAATGACCTATAAAAATATTAGCTAGTGATTCACAAATAAAATCTTTAAGTTTCTTTAAACTCTAGGATAAAAGTTGTCTGATCCAGGGAATGTATCAATTTTGAGGTTGCCCAACTTTTCTCTTACAATTTCAGAACTGAAAATGATATATTTTGCATCAATATTTTAGCACCATACATTAAGTGCTCTGGTTGAGGCATAATACAGAGTCATAAAAACTGAAGAGAAAATATAATTTAATAAGTTTAACATCTCAATCTTCTGAGAACAGCTCCCCACTATCATTTTTAAGAGGCCCAATCCTAACATTTTGCTTACCCATCATATACCTAAATAATTTCTTATTGTTTGATTTAACTCTCTCAGCCAACCCTCTTTCATATACAGTTTTTGCCCTTTTAACTTCCTTTTTAACCAGCTCTATGGATATCCTATAGTCCTCCAAGTCCTTATTATTTCCAGTAAGTTTAAATTTCTTGAATTTATTATATTTATCCCTAATATGATCTCTAAAACCTTTACTAAACCATACTGGCTTATTCTGCTCCCATTGCCCTTTTTTTCATGTAGGGAATATGTATGTTCTGTATGCATATACATTTTCCCCTTAATGCTTCCCACATCTGTTCAAGATCCCCTCCCAACTCTTTAATCCAATCTACAGAAGCCAGATCATGTCTCATTCCATCAAAATTGGCTTTCCTGAAATTTTGAATCAGTGTACTATTCTTCTTCAATTCTACATGTAGTAAAATCAGGGTACTATTCTTCTTCAATTCTACATGTAGTAAAATCCCAAACCTAATAGTGCAATGGTCGCTTGTACTTAAATGCTCACCAACCACAAATGTCTATCATATTCACATCAGATGTTAATACTTAATCTAATATAACTTCTCTTGTAGGTACCAACACCAGTTGGTGTATAAAAGTATCCCAAACAATTTCCAAAAACCTGTCCCCCTCACTGTCACACTCAAAATTTTCCCAATCAATACCCCTTAAGTTAAAATCTCCCATAATAACAACAACATCTATTTCAGCTACCATTCTGATCTCATTAAACAATTTTCTCATTAGCATCTACATTCTGACCTGGTGGTCTATAACAAATCCCAATTACAAGACTTTTCCCTTTATATCTACTAACACTAACCTAAACTGATTCAATCTCAGTGCTATTTTCTTTAATATGCTCTAACTCAACTGGATAAAATTCACTCCTCACATAAAATGCTACTCCTCCCCCTTTTTTCAATACCCTATCTCTAGTAAATAATCTGTAGCCTGTTATTTCAAAAAATTTCTCTCATCAAAATTGTTTAAATCCAACCAAGTCTCAGTGATACCCATAATATCAAAATCCTCAGTTTCCACAACTGATTTGAACTCATAAATTTTATTTCTAATACTCCTAGCATTACAACAGCAACAATTAAATTAGTAACAAATAAAGCAAAGATATTCCTAAATATGAAATTTTCTGTAACTCCCGAATGCTCTTAGGTATGCACTCTAAAATACCAATTAGTAACAAATAAAGCAAAGATATTCCTAAATATGAAATTTTCTGTAACTCCCGAATGCTCTTAGGTATGCGCTCTAAAATACCACATGAAAAACACACAAGATAAGGTTGTGAAAAATTTGCATCACTTAAAAACTCCTATTAATAAAGAAAAAACATATATCTTATACATATGCCATTATAGAGAGAGATCAGTTCAATAAAATAACATAGTTGTCAATCGTATAATGAAACAGAAAATGCTCATATATATATAATTGGTGGGTGAATAAAATCCATAATTTAATTAAAGTAATACATACGTAAATACAATAGCATCATTTGTAGTGTAGACAAACATGGTGCTTTATTATATTTTTTTAAATCTTGCTCAGAGTTTATCACTTTAGATTACAAATACAGATAATACAGGTATAACATTACAGTCCGCAAATATTTTGATTGTACTTATTTATTGAAATTAATAGAAATAAAACATTATTCAGCAAATAACCACCACCAGTAGAAATGACAAAAAAAAATAACTAAAGAAACAACAATTGAGTGAAAGAAATTGCAAGGTAAAATATCTTAGTTTGGAGTCTAGACCAAGTTCCGGCTATAACGAACAATTACGTTGGAAGGAAAATAAACAGCAGTTGTACACATAACACGAAAAGGGATGTTAGGAATATCTATATACAGTCAGAAAATACTTTAGTTGAGATTGAGTAATTAACAGTTGTTATTAAGGTACAAATAGTAGCAGTGAAAATATCCATTAAAACTGAATTGATTAAGTGGCGATGAACACAATGGAAGTGAGTAAAGGGATGGTAAATCAAAACCGAACTTTGTTTAAAAAAGTTTCATTGTGTGAATTATCAAGTTATTCTTGTCAGTTCCTATTCCAACAGATTCCAAGGGTTTTATTTCCCTGCTATTTTATTTATTTCAAAAACAAAATAACACATAGGTTTTACTGTTTTTCCTTTCTAAATGCATGCACTTTCTTCTAGATAAAGTATAAATTCACAACTTTTTGCATTTCTTGAGAGTAACTTAAGGTTACCAAACATGTAGTATGTAAGTTATTAATAGAATATTCCAGGGCCTGGATGTTTAACAGTTTAATAAAACTATTTATAATTCATTATGAGTGGACTTGTCTAACTGGTCCTCTGTATAGTGTATAAACTACATCCTAACACGGGTAGTTCCAAAATAGAGGTGTTTTCTTGATAACTGATCATAAACTATAATATCTGATTTCAAATAACTATTTTTGGGTACTAAATGTACAGAAATATCGGACAATATTTGGGCAAAATAAGGCTGAAGAGACACTGAACAATTTAGGTAACTCAAAAATCTGTAATTTAAAAAAAGGCAGAATTTCTTGTTTTAGCACAAACGAAGAATGGGCTATCTATGCAGCGATCGCCTTAGATATCCAACCAGGAATTCAAGCGTTATATGGCCTCAAGGTTACGGTTCAACCACTGGGGTACATTTCTTTATGAACCATCGAGCACATTTTAAACTATTTTCTACTCTCTACACATCTAGCCATAGCAGGAAATAATGTGTGCTTTTTGTAACACGCTAAGAGCAATAAAGTGAATCAAAGCAATCAATCACTGTTAAGAGTTAAGAAAAGTATATTATTCTATGAAAATGTTAAATCAAGAAAATCGAATCCGCTATGTTACTTTTTGTGAAAATACAAAGTGGCTTACTTCAAAGACAAACATAAATCTAGCAGGTGCGTCGCTGCAGAAATGCAAGAAACCGTTGATATTAAAGTTGAACCTTCCACAGTGCGACACAGATTGCATTAAAAAGAGTTAAAAAGGGGTATATTGCAGTAAGAAAACCTTTGCTGCGTATATCAAGTATTTTTTAATCTGTTTAAAGATGCTAGAAAGTGGCTCAACGGTAAGCTTTAGAGCTATGACGCTAAAATTCGGGTTTCGATCGCCTTGGCGGACATAGCCAACATAGCCAGCCCATTGTGTAATGGATATTATTAAACTTGGTGCTATACTTTCTCCTGGTCTTCACGAATCTTGCAACATTAATTAAGAAGTGTCATAACCAGTCATGAATAGGAAACATAGAAAATGTGCATAATTTCAACTAGATATACACCTAATCTTGACATATTTCATGTATTTACTGTTAATGAATACTACAAACGACTACTGTTTACGTCTTGGTGAAAGTAAAGAAGTAAAAATTAGAGTCAAACTTTCTTATCATGGTAATCTAGGTAGATTAAAAAAAATCACTAGATTTTACAAGATTCAATTTTAAGTAGGAATTTAAAAAAAAAGGAGATTCTGTTTATAATTTACAGACATGTGCTTTAACAGGTGCTTTTTCTGGTTATTACAGTTTAAAACGTGTCAGTTTAAAGTAGGTCAAAAATGTAATTTGTCACTGCCCTCTACTGGTTAATATATTTAAAGTTCAAAACCTATCGCTATTAGAGATAAGTTACAAATTTCCCGAAAGATACTGTGTTAGCTGAAGCACCGGTGAACTGAACATTTAAGGAATGATAGATACAGAGTTAGTCACAACACTGGTCAACACTTATTGAATGTTACAGTGCTAGTCATAACAATACTGAACACTAAGGGAAAGACATTATTAGTTGTAACAATGTTGAGCATTTAAGGAAATACGCTAACTTAATAACACTTTTTAACACTAAAGAAAAGTTAGTGTTATTTACAACACTACTGAGCATTTAAGGAAGTTAGAGTTAGTCATAATGCTCCTGAAAAGAAAGCTACAGTGTTAGTCATAACACCACTGAACAACTGTGGGGAAGATACAGTTAGGCATAACACTATTAGTTATTTAGGGGAAGATACTGGGTTGGAAAGAAGCTCAACCCATTTCCATGTTTTTTGCTACAACTTATCTAGAAAACAAAAGGTGTAATTCTTTATGCCAATATTTATATTTTACAACGTGAAAATGTCCAGACAGAACAATTCTAATCGTAACACCCATTCAACAGATACCTTACGTATCTACATATATAACAATTATGAAATTTCTAGGTGCTTTTATTTCAATGATGTATATAACATGTGTTATCTAGACACAGTACCTGATTTTCTCATACTTATCCTAGGATCTTTTAATTCAGGCTTTTCCTCGCACACAGCAACGGCATTTCTGTAAAGATAGATAATGGATTTCAAATACCTCGATTTTTTTTTATTATTATTTAAATTAGAGACTGCTATTTGAGACGTTATGGAAGCCATTTATCAAATGAGCTTTAATTAAACTTAATTTTGTTCTGGTAGCTTTAGATTCCGAATGTGAAAACTCAAAACTGAAGACTTTGAAATATTTAATAAATAATATCTACGTAAAACGTTCACTAATTGGGGACCAAATCATTTAATCTGATTTAACAAAAATCATTATTTTTATTAGATGTTTCCCCCTTAAAGACAGAAAAGCGTGTTTAGACAACACTTATTCATAACTTTTCGCATCAAGAAGTAGTAAAAGCTCAAGTTTGTTTTTTTTTATATCGAATTTCAGGTAGTCGAAACACGTGAGGCTAAGCACAGACTGCAGTGTTTCGACTGAAGATCTGAAATGAGCAGGATGTTGGTTGATCATGATTTCGTTTCACCAACGAGGTGGTTTAAAATGAAGATAAAACAACTGCGAAAAGTTGAAATGCATTACGTTTCTATTCGGCAACAAAACACGTTTAGAAATGGCTCAAAGTTTCTGCGTGCTTCTGTGTTTCAGTGACATTTTGCAATAATATTAGTTATACATGGACTGTGAATCTTCTGTATCCTATTCACATTTTGCGTTCGAACTTGGAAAGATATTGTAATTTACCATTTATTTTTTTTAGCGCACAGTGGCTAAAAAAATCAAAAGGCTTGTAAGAAATCACGAAGACAAACTGATAGAGTAAGATGCTTTTAACGAAGTAGACATACAGTTTTTCCCACATACAAAAAAAAAGGACTCCAAATTAAATATACGATGTCTGAAAATTATGTGACGTATCACAAGTTTAAACCATGGTAACACAATAAGAGTTACTATCTGTGCTAGCCGTCCCTAATTTTGAAGTGATAGTTTAGAATGATGGACCCTTGTCAACACCACCCATCGCCAACTCTTGGGCTACTCTTTACCAACGAATAATACCATTGACCGTCACTTTATAACGCCTCCACGACTAAAAGGGAGAGCATGTTCTGTGGCAGGATTAGTAACTCTCAAATCTGCCTGTACCACTTCTTGATAGAATTCTAAACTGGTGGTTTTTTTTTCTATTCATTTTATAATATTGCCTTTGCACCAGAATAAGCGATTTATTCTCTGTTACTCACAGGATGCACATAGCCTTCACTTTCGACACGTTTGTTAATGATATACTTCATGACCGCGCATGCGTTATACGTGATTACACTTATTATGATTAAAAAAAAACTGCATGCATGTACCCTTTATCCACCAAAAACCGCAAGTTACTAAGTGTTGTTGTCTTCACGTGATTCAAGTTTAATACGTCACATATTTAGCCCCCCTGTTGCTTAGTTATATTGTTCACGATATATGTGTTATCGTCAGGTGTACAGACTCATCCATTTCTTGAGTTATACGGGTACGCATACAATATGTTTTCTGAGTTATAGGGGTAAGTGTATTGGTATGTTTCCAGAGTCATGCCTCCCCCCAGTGACTCAGTGGAAAGTCTGAAGGCTTATAGCGCTAAAAACGGAGTTTTGATACCTGTGATGGGCAGAACACAGATATCCCATTGTGTAGCTTTGTGCTTAACATCAAAGAAACCATTTTATGTCATACGGGTATGCATATCAGTATATATTTCTTGGGTTAAAGGGGTACATGTGTCAGTATATGTTTCAGCTTTACGAGACAAGTGCTTGTGTTGGCATCAGTTTCTGAATCCTACGAATATATCTGCATACGTAGCAATAGTTTTGAGAGTAGATACACGTGTTACTGCTAGAAGTCATGTAATGCCGTATTGTGAGGTAATGTTTGTCACTGCTAGAAGTTATGTAATGCCACATTGTGATGTAATGTGACATGTGTTACTGCCAGAAGCTATGTAATGCGGTATTGCGATGTAATATGACACGTGTTACTGCTAGAAGTCATGTAATGCCGTATTGTGAGGTAATGTTTGTCACTGCTAGAAGTCATGTAATGCCGTATTGTGATGTAATATGACATAGGTGTTACTGCTAGAAGTTGTGTAATGTCGTATTGTGAGGTAATGTTTGTCACACACGTGTTACTGCTAGAAGTTATGTACTGTCGTATTGTGAGGTAATGTTTGTCACTGCCAGAAGCTATGTAATGCCGTATTGTGATGTAATATGACACGTGTTACTGCTAGAAGTTGTGTAATGTCGTATTGTGAGGTAATGTTCGTCACACACGTGTTACTGCTAGAAGTTGTGTAATGTCATATTGTGAGGTAATGTTCGTCACACACGTGTTACTGCTAGAAGTTGTGTAATGTCGTATTGCGAGGTAATGTTTGTCACACACGTGTTACTGCTAGAAGTTATGTACTGTCGTATTGTGAGGTAATGTTTGTCACACACGTGTTACTGCTAGAAGTTATGTAATGTCGTATTGTGAGGTAATGTTTGTCACACACGTGTTACTGCTAGAAGTTATGTTCCTCCAGCCAAAACTTTTTACACCTTAAGACTTTTCTCAAAAACTACTGACATAGATAGCATTTCAACTACGGCCTTGTATGTTGTAACTAAGCCGCCTTGATGATCTCTAGAACTTAAGAAAAGCCTAATCGGCAAGACACACAAGAAACAAGATATAATTCAAATGTCATTGTAAACTCTTCTTATTGGAAACCCGTACTGGAAAATTGATTTCAATAAATACCATTTTTATTGTAATGTAATATCTTATGTATTACTACATTTATTGATGGATTTATTCTAATTAACGTAAATAATATACAAAGTTATGTATTTCTTATGAATCTTGCGGATAGGGTAGGTGTAATATTATTCTGGGTTTTACACACAAGATCCCCCCCTCCCCATCTTACTGAATGTTGTTTCTTCTACTTGATTAACGTTATAGGAGGTGCGAGATGACTGCGGACAAGCGATATTTAGATAGCAGGATATCCAAGGTTTCACAGGTATAAGAATTTGTGAAACAATTTCTTCGTCTAACAAGATCTCCTTTTCTCTCTCTCCCAACTTCCACCGGAAATATCTATCATAAATGACGTCACACAAAAGCTGCGAGTAGCACATAACTCGTGCTCGTAGTATGCTGCCACACCTCAATCACCAAGGCTATTCTCTCCTTCCCATTCCCTCCCACACTGATCCTGGCAACAGGAGTTCCTCTCATCACTCCTTTATCTATACTTTCATTCCTTGATGACAGTTCTGTGACGTAGTTGTGACGTCAAACGACAAGGCACTGACAGTTCCATGACCTAACCTCTGCCCTTTAGTAATAAAGGCTATGAGAAGGAATTGCCTTTCGTAAACAAAATTTAAGGGTCATTTTAGTTCGTATCACACTTAAACAAAAACAACATTGTATGAAATGATGCGAAATATATCAATAATAAAATACAAGCGTGTCTTCTAATACTAATAAGCTTCACTTTCCTCTTCTGACCCAATGTAAGTACGTAATTCCTAATTTGATATATGAGAAGGGTGGGCGGAGTCATAAACTGTAAAATGATGTTTACGAAGAACTGCAAGAAATCTTAATACCTAAACTTTAAGTTACAGATCTTATTAATAAGAACTTTGAAGAAATCAAGAAGTTCTTTCGTTCAATCAATCTTTAATGATCTATTTACAGTTACTGAAATTATCATTGTTCTTTAAGTAATATCCGTAAATTGCCATTTTCTGTTCCAACCTCTGAATACTAATCTTTAAAGTTCTTAATATAATTCCAGCAACTTCTGGACCAAAGGTCGCTTATCTGCAAGTTCTATTGTAAGCTATAAATGTTGTTTCAGCATGTTAAGGTCTGTCAGTTCCCAATAAATATTCAGTGAATAAAACTATATGTGACATTTGACACACGAATTTCCAAGATTGCTGTAGTTTGAATATGCGCTGATGATAACCGATAAAACAAAATGATTTTTAACAAAAGAATACAACATTTACATGTTTTATCAACACCGTACAATAAGTCTTTGTTCTTCTACCATCTCGTGACGGCGATGTCTTTCCATAAGGTAATTGGGTTTGTCTGTAGTTAAACATAAAGTTACACAACGGGCTATTTTTTCTGTGCCCATCACGAGTTAGTATCGAAACCCAGATTTTAGCGTAACAAGCCTTCAGACTTACAAGCAAAGTGAGTGGGATAGGAGGTATAAAAAACTTGTCTCGCTTGAAATATGGAAATACATAACTTTTTCACCAATATAATTAAGGCGGATTTGTACCTTTTATGTTATCACAGTCATATAAGGAATTCTATAATTTACCACCTGAACAAGTATGTAAAGAATTACAGGAAATTATTGGAAAAATAATTTATGTACTTGTTCTCGGTGCATTAAACCTAACTAACCAGGGAAGAAAGAGAAAAAACACGGTTACTAAACTTAATATTATACATGATGCTATTTTTCTTTGCAATCTTCGTCTCTGAGGAATTACATTGTGAGAATGAGGATAACATGTGATGTCATAACTTCACCAGTCCTGGCCTTCATGATTTAGAAGCTGCACGGAAACCAAGTATTCGACAAGATTTCTGACGTTCGAAGCTATGAACTCATAAGCGTTAATGTTCATTCTAGGTAATGAAGCATGAGGTAAAGTAGTGTTTATGTGCGGTTAGGGCCGTTTACGACACTTCTATGAAAGAGGTCATCAGTAGAAGAAAAATTTATAAATAGAACAAGAGGTATTCAGCTGGTTAATATAGGATAAACAGCACATACACACACACACACACAGTATGTGAGTGTGTTCTTTCAAAGCATAATGTTTAAGAAACGAGCTTAGTATCAGCAATGTCAAGTTGATGACTATATGCTGCAAACAGAAACTATGTGATATCAAGGGTACCAGTTTTGATGTAAAGCATGGCGTATTAGAGGGAACTTGCAGTTATATATATATAAACGAATTATTATATGA